AGGTATTATGGGAGGGTCATAATATTTGAGAACATATAGCAAACATTCCAAAGTCCTCAGAATGAAAAAGCAGTCCAAGTCTCAAACACAACAGAGCTTTCCAGATTTGGCCTTGTGGTACAGCCAATAAGGCCATTGCTTGGGACGTCTGTATTCCATATCAGCATACCAGTTGAGCAGCAGCTCTTCTACTTCAAATCCAGCTCCCTGCTAATAAGCCTGGGAAGCAGTAGATGATGGTTCAAGTACCTGAGTCTTTGCTACCCATAAGAGACCCAGATGGGAGTTCCTGTCTCCTACGTTTGGCTTGGCCTAGTCCCAGCCATCAGGGCCATATAAAGAATAAACCAGGAGAAAAGAAGATCTCAATCCTTCTCTCCCTCCCTGTCACTCTTTCAAATAAATAAATCAACAAATTTAAAAAAAGAGACTGCCAACAAAACACAGATGCCAGAAGATGACCCTAACAAAATCATTAATTATAATAGTTATTATCCTAGCACTCAAACTAGCACAGGAAAGGAAAATAGTTTTGTTTTTTCGTAGGAAAATATGGAAGTTTTTAAGACACAAAAAGACTAATATAGTGTTTTTTTAAAAAATGTATTTGAAAGACAGAGCTACAGAATGAGAGGGAGAGGGAGGGAGGGCGATCAATCGATCGATCTTCCATCCGCTGGTTCATTACCAAGATGGTAGCAACACCCAGGCCAGAGCCAGAAACTTCATCTGGGTCTCCCATATAGGTGGCAAAAGCCCAGATACTTTGGCTATCCTCCACTGCCTTTTCCAGGTCATCAGCAGGGAGCCAGATCAGAAGCAGAGCAGCAGGGGCTCAAACCCATGCCCATATGGGATGTAGGCATCACAGGCAATGGTCTAACCTGCTACACCAACACTGACCTCCTCTGCCTTTCAAATAAATAAAGTAAATCTTAAAAAAATAAATACTGGCCGGCACTGTGGCTCACTAGGCTAATCCTCCACCTGCGGCACTGGCACCCGGGTTCTAGTCCCGGTTGCTCCTCTTCTGATCCAGCTCTCTGCTGTGGCCTGGGAAGGCAGTGGAGGATGGCCCAAGTGCTTGGGCCCTGCACCCGCATGGGAGACCAGGAGAAGCACCTGGCTCCTGGCTTCGGATAGGCGTAGTACGCCAACCGCAACGCGCCAGCCGCAGCAGCCACCTGGGGGATGAACCAACGGAAAAAGGAAAACCTTTCTCTCTGTCTCTCTCTCTCTCTCAGTCTAACTCCGCCTGTCAAAATAAATAAATAAATAAAAAATAAATACTACGGCACATTGTGTGACAGAATCCTAACATCAGATAAACAGAATTAAGGACAGGGCCGGCGCCGCGGCTCACTAGGCTAATCCTCCGCCTTGCGGCGCCGGCACACCGGGTTCTAGTCCCGGTCGGGGCGCCGGATTCTGTCCCGGTTGCCCCTCTTCCAGGCCAGCTCTCTGCTGTGGCCAGGGAGTGCAGTGGAGGATGGCCCAAGTATTTGGGCCCTGCACCCCATGGGAGACCAGGAAAAGCACCTGGCTCCTGGCTCCTGCCATCGGATCAGCGCGGTGCGCCGGCCGCAGCGCGCCGGCCGCGGCGGCCATTGGAGGGTGAACCAACGGCAAAGGAAGACCTTTCTCTCTGTCTCTCTCTCTCTCTCACTGTCCACTCTGCCTGTCAAAAAAAAAAAAAAAAAAAAAAAGAATTAAGGACAGGTGGTTGGCACAGCAGTTAGGATGCCACTGGGGATGCCCATGTCCCACATCAGAGAGCCTGCATTTGAGTTTTAGCTATGCTTCCAATTCTAGCTTCTTGCTGATGTGCACCCTGAGAAGCAGCACAAGACAGCTTAAGCTTTGGGTCCTTGCCATCCATATGGAAGACTCAAATTGAGTTCCAGACTCCTGCTTTCAGCGTGGCCCAGGAAATCGTTTGGGGAATGAACCAGCAGATAGGAACTCTTTCTTCCCCTTCTTTCTGTTTGTCTTTCAAATAGATAAATAACACAAATTCTTATGTTTAACCATTCTATTTTATGTACAATCTACTTATTAACATGTTTCTAAAGTAGTATATTCAGAATGTAAAATATCCCCTATGAATCTCATTGAAATTATATAACTAAGTAAGATTTCTAATAAATCACTTCAGCCTGTAGAAATACAGAACAAATGCAAATAAATAAAAAACAGTCATCAGTAAATGTTTGGATCCTTAACCACTACAATGGTGGTTAATATTTAGTATGTCTAATTTGAAAACTGCAGGAAAATATTTACTGGAATTGAATAAACAATTCTCAAGTTACTTTTTTTTAAAAGATTTATTCATTTATTTGAAAGGCAGCGTTACAGAGTAACAGAGGCAGAGAGAGGGAGAAAAGTCTTCCATCCGCTGGTTCACTCCTCAGATGGCTGCAAAGGCCGTGGCTGGGCTGATCCGAAGCCAGGAGCTTCTTCCAGGTCTATGTAGGTGTAGGGGCCCAAAGTCTTGGACCATCTTCTACTGCTTTCCCAGGCCACAGCAGAGAACTGGATAGGAAGTGAAGCAGCCAGAACTCGAACCAGTACCCATATGGGATGCCAGCACTGCAGGCTGTGGCTTTACCCGCTACACCATAGTGCCAGCCCAGCACCTCAAGTTACTTTTATTGAATAATAACTGCTTATCTGCAAAGACCTTTCCCTAAAAATACAGTAAACTTTCCCTCAACCCCATCTAACTACTTTAATTTTCCGGGAATTTTGAACTAATCCTACAAGGAACTACTCAGAAAACTAAGATTGCTGTCTATTCTTGAAAAAAAAAAAAAAAAAAAACACAGAGTCGGAGCTGTGGTGTATTAAGTTAAGTCTCCACCTGTGGCACCAGCATCCCATTTGGGTGCCCCTTTGAGTCCCAGTTGTTCCACTTCTGATCCATCTCACTGCTAATGACCTGAGAAGGCAGTGGAAGATGGCCCAAGCACTTAGGCCCCAGCACCAACATGGAAGTCCTGGAAGAAGCTCTTGGCTTTGGATCAGCCCAGCTCTGGCCATAACAGCCATTTGAAAGTAAACAGCTGATGGAAGACCTATTTCTCGGTCTCTCCCTCTCTATGTAATTTTGTCTCTCAAATAAATAAATCTTTTTTTGTTTGTTTGTTTGTTTTTTGACAGGCAGAGTGGACAGTGAGAGAGACAGAGAGAAAGGTCTTCCTTTGCCGTTGGTTCAACCTCCAATGGCCGCTGCGGCCGGCGCACCGCGCTGATCTGAAGCCAGGAGCCAGGAGCCAGGTGCTTTTCCTGGTCTCCCATGGGGTGCAGGGCCCAAGCACCTGGGCCATCCTCCACTGCACTCCCTGGCCACAGCAGAGAGCTGGCCTGGAAGAGGGGCAACCGGGACAGAATCCGGCGCCCCAACCGGGACTAGAACCCGGTGTGCCGGCGCCACTAGGCAGAGGATTAGCCTAGTGAGCCGCGGCGCCGGCCCAAATAAATAAATCTTTTAAGCACACACACACACACACACACACAAAACCTAATTAAAAAAAAAAAAAAAAAAAAAACTTTTCAGGGCTGGTGCTGTGCCACAGCAAGTTAAGCCACAAGCTACAACATCAACATCCCACATTGGAGCACTGGTTCCAGTTCCCAGCTTCTCTGCTTCCGACACAGCTCCCTATTAATGCACTTAGGATAGCAGTGGAAAACTGTCCAGGTGGTTGGACCCCTGCCACACACATGGGAGACTCAGATGGAGTTCCTGGCTCCAGGCTTCAGCTTGGCCCAGCCAAGACCACTACAGCCATTTGGGGAGTAAACCAGCAGACGGTAAATTTCTCTCTGTCTCTGTCATTCTGCCTTTTAAATAAATGTTAAAAATTTTTTAAATTTATTGTTGCTATCAAGTATCCTTTCCTGAAAACTCAGCTGTCTGTGCTGCTGCTGTACTCTTTAGGTTCTCCTTTCCTGACAGTTCATTATTCATCCTTGTAAATGTTTTATTTTCTTCTCCTAAATGTGAATATTTACCCTAATAGTTCTATTTTCACTTTTCTAAAATAAAAAAAAAAATGGCCTGTGATCTCCAGTCTTCCCTTTGTGCAGCTCCAACTCTTAACTTCACTTCATGACTTTATTCTAAACTTCCAATAATAAAAGAGGTATCAAAACCCAAATGCGGCCGGCACCGTGGCTCAATAGGCTAATCCTCCGCCTGTGGCACCAGCACACCGGGTTCTAGTCCCATTCAGGGCACCGGATTCTGTCCCGGTTGCCCCTCTTCCAAGCCAGCTCTCTGCTGTGGCCCAGGAGTGCAGTGGAGGATGGCCCAAGTGCTTGGGCCCTGCACCCACATGGGAGACCAGGAGAAGCACCTGGCTCCTGGCTTCAGATCAGTGCAGTGCGCTGGCCGCGGCAGCCACTGGAGGGTGAACCAACGGCCAAGGAGAACCTTTCTCTCTGTCTCTCACTGTCCACTCTGCCTGTCAAAAAAAAAAAAAAAAAAAAAACACAAATGCCAGAGAAGCGGCTGAGCTCTTCAGTTTCACACTTCTCGGCGCTGAGTGGTTGTAGTTACCATGCCTCACGGAAACCAAAGCCACATCTCCTGCACAGCCCTTCTAGAGCAAGCCAGGCACCAAGATGAGAGTTGCACCAAAGCCAGGACCAGCAGCTCAGCCACCAGCAGCAGTCCCACCAACTGCAGTTGGCTCACCTGCCATGCCTGATGGTCCAAATGGCAGCTACTGCAGCTGGCATAGCTGTCGCTCTGCCATTGGGCACACAATGGATCATGCCATCACTGAAGGCTTCAGTGGAGGATGTCATGCTGAGCCCTCAAGGCCCAACATTACTCACCTCAGAGAGCCCAACCAGCACAGCAGGAGTCTGGGCCCTGGGTCTTGAGATAAAAAAGTTTTGGGACTATGCCCAGAACCCGGATGACGTTATGCTCTGTAAGGGTTTCAGTGAATTTGCTGAGACAGGGCAGGTTTACAAATAGATTGTTCTAGGCCGGCGTCGCGGCTCACTAGGCTAATCCTCCGCCTTGCGGCGCCGGCACACCGGGTTCTAGTCCCGGTCGGGGCGCCGGATTCTGTCCCGGTTGCCCCTCTTCCAGGCCAGCTCTCTGCTGTGGCCCGGGAGTGTAGTGGAGGATGGCCCAAGTATTTGGGCCCTGCACCCCATGGGAGACCAGGAGAAGCACCTGGCTCCTGCTGTTGGATCAGCGCGGTGCGTCGGCCACTGGAGGGTGAACCAACGGCAAAGACCTTTCTCCCTCTCTCTCACTGTCCACTCTGCCTGTCAAAAAAAAAACAAACAAACAAACAAAAAAAAAACAAATAGATTGTTCTAATCAAGGAGTTCAAAATGGGGCCGGCGCCATGGCATAGTAGGTTAATCCTCCACTGGCAGCGCTGGCATCCCACGTGGACGCCAATTCTAGTCCCAGCTGCTCCTCTTTAGATCCAGCTCTCTGCTATGGCCCGAGAAATCAGTGGAACATGGCCCAAGTCCTTGGGACCCTGCATCCACATGGGAGACCCAGAAGAAGCTCCTGGCTCCTGCCTTCGGATCGGTGCAGCTCTGGCCGTTGCGGCCATCTAGGGAGTGAACCAGAGGACAGAAGACCTCTCTCTCTGCCTCTACCTCTCTCTGTAACTCTTTCAAATAAATAAAAATAAATAAATCTTTAAAAAAATTAAATTCTCTTAAAAATAATTGGGGCCAGTATTGTGGCATAGCAGGTAAAGCTGTCACCTGTGACACTGGCATTCCTTGTGGGCACAAGTTCAAAATCCAGCTGCTCCACTTCTCATGCAGCTCCCTGCTAATGCACCTGTAAAGGCAGAAGGTGCTCCGGCCTGTCCCAGTCCTGGCTACTGCAGTCATATGGGAAGTAAATCAGCTGATGGAAGATTTCTATCACTCCTTTCCCTTCCCTATAACTCTGCCTTTCAAATAAATAAATCTTAAAAAAAAAAAAAAATCAACATGGCTTAAGTAGATCTGTCCTTAATCTTCATTTGCTGTCCTCTAGCTGTACTTTTATTTTTTAAAGGATTATTTATTTGAAAAAAGAGAGACATCTTCCATCACTGGTTCACTCCCTAAACAGCTGCAACAGCCAAAGATGAACCAGGCAGAAGCCAGGAGCTTCATCTGGGTCTCCCACGTGGATGCAAGGGCACAATCACTGGGGTCATCTTCCACTGCTTTCCCAGAAGCATTAGCAGGGAACTGGATCAAAGTGGAGCAGGGGCCAGTGCTGTGCTGTAGTGGGTTTAGCCGCCATCTGCAGCACTGGCATCCCACATGGGCACAAACTCAAGTCCAAGCTGTTCCATTTTCAATCCAGCTCACTGCTGGTGTATCTGGGAAAGCAGCAGAAGATGGCCCCCAAGTGCTTGGGCCCCTGCACCCACACGGAAGACCCAAAAGAAGCTTCTGGGTCCTAGCTTCGGCTTGGCCCAGCCCTGGTCATTGCAGACATTTGGGGAGTGAACAGCTGATGGAAGATGTCTCCTCCTCTCTCTCTAACTCTGTCTTTCAAATAAATATTTTTTAAAATTATACACAACTTTATCAAGCCCTAAAATTTTCATGATTGGTTTCATATTCCCTTTGTTAAGTTCCACTATTCTAACATAAGGACAACAGCTATAATTCTGCTACAGCACATTCTCACACACATTATTTCTACTGATCAAAAAACTGCCCAGGGGGCCGGTGCTGTGGCTAGAGGGTTATGGGTGTCAGTCCCAGCTGCTATACTTCAAATCCAGCTCTCTGCCATGGACTGGGAAAGCAGTAGAAGATGGCCCAAGTCTTGGGCCCCTGCACCTGCGTGGAAGACTCAGAAGAAGCTCCTGGCTCCGGACTGGCCCAGCTCCGGCCATTGCAGCCATCTGGGGCATGAGCTAGCAGATGGAAGACCTCTCTCTGTTTCTCTCTCTGCCTCTCTGTAACTCTGCCTTTTAAATAAATAAATCTTTATAAAAATAAAAATAAACTGCCCAGGCAATAATTAAAGCTGCTTCTTTCACTTTATGCCTACAAAGACAAGTTAAACTATTTTCTACTTTCTCTAGTCAACACCACATTGCAAACTATCATGTTGCAATTAGTAATAGTTCTGTATGACTAATGAAGATTAAATATGTCTCTCCATATTTCCAGAAGTTCAACTGGAAAAATGTCTGGCTACAAAGAACAAATATACTTCTCTCATTCTTACAAAAGATTTACTAAAGTGTTTAAAAAGAAGGTAGCCAGGCACATAAAAAAAGGAAAAATTTTATGTTGCTTTTCCAAAGGGACCAAATGTCTGAAAATGATGTGTTCAAAGTTAAACCATAGACATGCAAATGTGGTGAAAAGAATATGAGAGTCACTGAAAGTCTTTTTCCTTTTGCCTCATTTAACAAAACCTAGCAGAATTATCAATTTCACTTCCTTATGTTTCTACTACTATTATATTCTATGATTACCACAAATAAACCTTCAAACTACTTCAACGTTCTTGATTCTGCACCTATTAATAAAACCCAAAATATGACTTTATATTTTTGTCTTTTAAGTATCCATTAACATTTACTTATGTAAATTTTCTCAAATTTTACAAAGTCTGTTTAAAACTCCAAGTCAATATTCTGCAAATTAACTCAGTTATAATATTAGGAACAAAACACTGACAGCCCTTCAAACAGCAACATAAGTGTAATATCTTAAGTATTTTAATGTTTTTGATAAACATTCCTTACCACTCTTGCTGCTCTCTCCTGGGATTCACATTTTCTGCAAAACCATGGTCCAGTGGGTACTTGAACAATGCCATAGCAAGCTGTTAAAAAGTGTTAAGATTTGAAGATTATGGAAAAATCAAATGCCCTTTTCAAAATCTTATTTACCTCTCAAACTGTTCTCAAGTCAACTATTTGCTTTACAGAATAACACTTTATTCCCCACTTGCCACATATATAGTCAATTACAGTTAATTAAAAATATGACACTTTGGGCTGGGCATTTAGTCTAGCAGCTAAGGCATTTGCATCACATATCAGAGTACCTGGGTTTCATACCTGGCACCAGTTCCTGACTCCAGCATTTTCAAGTGTTTGAGGAATAAACCAGCACACTGGAGCAAAACATGTCTCTACTTCTCAAAAAAAAAAACAAAAAAAAAAAAACAAAAAAAACCTTGTCTTCAATTTAAAATTATATGGGGTGCAGGTGTTATCATGCAGGGGTTACTTGAGCCAACTTAATCCCATACTGAAGTGCTGCTTTGAGTCCTGGCTCCTCCACTTCCAATCCAGTTTCCTGCCAATGCACCTGGGAAGGCAGCAGATAATGGCTTAGGTCACTACCACCCATGTGGGAAACCAGAATGGAGTTCTAGGCTCTTAGTTTTGGCCTTGCCAAACCTTGATGCAGATATCTGGAGATGAACCACCAGGATATCTCTCAATATCTCTCTCTCTCTCTCTCCCCCCATCTATTTGTCACTCTTTCAAATAAAGCTTTTAAAAATAAAAATGGTACTTCAGCTAAAATTTTTAAATGCAACTTGTTATTTTGTCTAAATAAGTCTAAATTTCATAATTTTTTCTCTTAATTGGAAGAACATTATGTAGTATTTATTATTAGGTTTTTTTTTTCTTGAGTAACTCAAAAAAAATTTTTTTTTTTTTTTTGACAGGCAGAGTGGACAGTGAGAGACAGAGACAGAGAGAAAGGTCTTCCTTTGCCGTTGGTTCACCCTCCAATGGCCGCCGCGGCCGGGGCGCTGCAGCCGGCGCACCGCGCTGATCCGATGGCAGGAGCCAGGAGCCAGGTGCTTTTCCTGGTCTCCCATGGGGTGCAGGGCCCAAGCACCTGGGCCATCCTCCACTGCACTCCCTGGCCACAGCAGAGGGCTGGCCTGGAAGAGGGGCAACCGGGACAGAATCCGGAGCCCCGACCGGGACTAGAACCCGGTGTGCCGGCGCCGCTAGGCGGAGGATTAGCCTAGTGAGCCGCGGCGCCGGCCTCAAAAAATTTTTAACGCGTACGTACTACAGTTTATTTTTTTTATACTACTGTTTAAATAGCAAGCATTTTGGCCGGCGCCGCAGCTCACTAGGCTAATCCTCCACCTTGCGGCGCCGGCACACCAGGTTCTAGTCCCAGTCGGGGCGCCGGATTCTGTCCTGGTTGCCCCTCTTCCAGGCCAGCTCTCTGCTGTGGCCAAGGAATGCAGTGGAGGATGGCCCAAGTATTTGGGCCCTGCACCCCATGGGAGACCAGGAGAAGTACCTGGCTCCTGCCATCGGATCAGCGCGGTGCGCCGGCCGCAGCGCAGCAGCCGCAGCAGACATTGGAGGGTGAACCAACGGCAAAGGAAGACCTTTCTCTCTGTCTCTCTCTCTCACTGTCCACTCTGCCTGTCAAAAAAAAATAAAAATAAAAAAATTCAAAAAAAAATAGCAAGCATTTTAGTTAAGTCTAATGAAAACATTCCCAAATCACCTTTCAAAACGAACACAGGAATTACAGAAAAAAGTGAAATCCTTCTATCTACGTTAAATGTCCAAAACAGGCAAATTCAGAGATATAAAGTAGACTAGGGGTAAGGTATTGCTGGGGGAGTTGGAAATAGAGAAAAACTGGGACCAATGTTATAGTGCAGTGGGTAAAGCCACTGCTTGCAACGCTGGCATCCTGGGAAAAGCAGCAGAAGATGGCTCAAGCGCTTGGGTCCCTGCCACCCTCGTGGGAGACCCAGTGTAAACCTCCTGCTTCAGCCCTGGTTTTGCAGCCATTTGGGGAGCAAACCAGCAGATGGAAAACCTCTCTCTGATTCTCCTCCTCTCTGAAACTCTTTCAAATAAAAAAACAAATCTTCAAAAAAGAAAGGAGGGGCAGGTCCAAGGTTCATAAGTATGCAGAAAAGGATCTAAAATTAATCATAGTAATGGCTGCACACTCTGAATACACTAAAAACCACTGAATTGTACACTTTAAATGGACAAATTGTATTCTCACAATGACATCTCAGTAAAGCCATTACTTAAAAAATGTACACGAGGCACTGGGCAGCGGGTAGCGGGGTGGGGATGTGGGGGGAGGACAACGTTGTAGTGTGGCAGGTTAAGCCTCTGCCTGCCACACCAGCATCCCATATGGACGCTGGTTGAAATCCAGCTGCTCCACTTTCGATCCACCTCCCTACAAGTGGCCTGGGAAAGCAGCAGCAGATGGCCCAAGTGCTTCAGGGTCCCTGCTCCTGGCTCCTGAACAGCCCAGCTTCAGCCATTGTGGCTATTTGAGAGGTGAACCAGGGGCCGGCATCCCATATAGGCACCAGGCTCTAGTCCCAGTTACTCCTCTTCCAGTCCAGCTCTCTGCTGTGGGCCAGGAAGGCAGTGGAGGATGGCCCAAGTGCTAGGGTCCCTGCACCCGCATGGGAGATCGGGGGAAGCACCAGCTCCTGGCTTTGGATCAGCGCAGCTCCAGCCGTAGCGGCCATTGGGGAGTGAACCAACAAAAGGAAGACCTTTCTGTCTCTCTCTCACTAACTCTGTCAAAAAAAAAAAAAAAAAAGCAGAGGTGAAGCAGCAGATGGAAGATCTGTCTCTCTCTGTGTTAACTATGCTGTGGGGAGCAACCGGACTAGACTGAGTTACTGGAATTAAGACTTATTCTATGCATCTGCTCTCCCACAATATGGCGCTGGGAGAGAAGTAAACAGCTTCCGCACAGCTGCCTCCAGTTCAACTAATAAACTGTAGGACTTGCTATTGATTGGAGGAGAGCAGCGTACTCGGCGTGTGGGCAGCCGAGTTAGGATTGGCGGAGGAGGACTATAAAGGAGGAGAGAGACGGCATGCACCAGGAACATCTATGGGGAACATCTAAGGGGAACATCTAGCTGAAGGAACACCTGTGCAGCCCCCGAGAAAGCCGGCCGGCGGTGTGCCGCTCCCCTGCGGAAGTGGGGAATGTGGCCAGGGGGAACTGCCCTTCCACGGAGGTGGAAGGGATAGTAGCCAACCCGGGAAGAACCAGCAGCAAACCCGGGGAGGGCCGAGCAGACGAAAGAACAGCGCAGGGTCCTGTGTCGTTCCTCCACGAAGAGGGGGAGCGACACTATGCCTTTCTTTTGTTTTTTTGTTGACAGGCAGAGTGGACAGTGAGAGAGAGAGGCAGGGAGAAAGGTCTTCCTTTGCCGTTGGTTCACCCTCCAATGGCCACTGCGGCCAGCGCACCGCGCTGATCCGAAGGCAGGAGCCAGGTACTTCTCCTGGTCTCCCATGGGGTGCAGGGCCCAAATACTTGGGCCATCCTCCACTGCACTCCCTGGCCACAGCAGAGAGCTGGCCTGGAAGAGGGGTAACCGGGACAGAATCCGGCACCCCGACCGGGACTAGAACCCGGTGTGCCGGCGCTGCAAGGGGGAGGATTAGCCTAGTGAGCCGCGGCGCCGGCCCTAACTATGCCTTTCATATAAATAAATCTTTTTTTGTCTTTTAAAGTAAAAAGAAAGTCGGAGTTACACAGAGAGAGAAGGAGAGGCAGAGAGAGGTTTTCTGTTCGCTGGTTCACTGGTTCACTCCCAATTGGCCTCAATGGCCAGAGCTGAGCTGATCCGAAGCCAGGAGCCAGGAGCTTCTTCCAGGTCTCCCGCATGGGTGCAGGGGCCCAAGGACTTGGACTATCTTCTACTGCTTTCCCAGGCCATAGCAGAGAGCTGGATTCAAAGTGGAGCCACCAGGGCTCGAACCGGCACCCATATGAGAGAGATGCCAGCACTGCAGGCAGCGGCTTTACCCACTACACCACAGCGCCGGCCCCAATCAAATAAATAAATTTTTTAAAAGAAGGGTTACATGGGGGTAGACGTTGTGGTACAGTGGGTAAGTCACTACCTGTGGTGCCCATTGCCTGCATCCCTTATCAGTTCCACTATTCCACTTCTAATTCAGATTCCTGCTAATGTATGGTGAGAAGCAATAAAAGGTGTCTCAAGTGCTGGCCCCTACCACTCTCATGGAGACCTGTTGCAGGCCTTTGAGGAGTGAACCTGAAGATGGAATGTGTCTCTCTCTGCTGCTCTTCAAGAATATGCAAATAAACAGAAAGCACATGGGAGGTGTGTTGTGGCACAGAAGGTTAAGCTGCTGCTACTTGGGACACCCACATATTTGGGTACCCACTACTCCTCTTCTGATCCAGCTTCCTGCTAATAGGCCTGGGAGAGAGTGGACTGGGTTCCTGCTACCTACATGGAGATCAAAATGGAATCCTTAGCTTCCGACTTTGGTCTGGCCCAGCTCTGGCTATTTTGGGCATCTAGGGTTAAACCAGAAGATGAAAGATCTTTCCGTTTCTCCTGCTCACCCTGTCACTCTCTTTCAAAGACAAAAATATTTTTAAGTACATGTTTATTTAAAAATGTAGCACGTGAATGCTCCAACAATCAATTCAAATATATATCATATCTAATTTACATATCTACTGCTTAAAAATTGGTGTTGAATAATATTAAAAATATCCAACTGATAATCTCAAATGAGCTTGTTCAGCAGAATCTTGCTAACATCTTAAATATCAGAAGCACTTAAATAAAACCAGGAACAAGTATTTAACCTAGTGGTGAACAAACCCACAATCCAAATCAGAGTGCCTGGGTTCAATTCCTGGTGCTGTCTCCTGACTCTAGCTACCTGCCATTGTCAACAACAGGAGTCAGCAAGTTCCAGTGATTTCATCCCAGTGACCAACCTGGGAGAACTGGATTGTGTTCTTAGCTCCGTGCTTCAGGCCCCAGACCAGTCACAGTCTCCAGCCATTCTGGTCATTTGGGAAGCAAACCATCAGATCAGAGTTCACTCTGTGCCTCAAAAAAATTTTTTAATTATGTAAAATCAACTTTTTAATACTTCAAAAACTAACTTTTTATGTATTTGAAAGGCAGAACGACAGAGAAAGAGGGAAAGACAGAGTTCTTCCATCTGCTAGGTAACTGCCCAAATGGCCACAACCGCCACAGTTGGGCCAGGCTGAAGCCAGAAGCCTGAAACTTCATACACGTCTCCCATGTGGATGGCAGGGTCCAAAGCACTTGGACCATTTTCTGTTGCTTTCCCAGGTGCATTAACAAGGAGCTGGATTGGAAGTGGTACAGCTGGGACTAGAACTGGCACCCATATGGGTTCCAGAGGCACAGGTAATAGCTTAACCCAGTGTGCCACCACACAAGCCCCTCTAATATCTTTAAACATTTGTAAACATCAGAATAAAATATTGATCAACCAACAAACACAGCATCAGTGTCCATAAACTTTTATTTTTATTTGGGAGCACTGCTAGAGAGTAAACTTTAAGACTTAAATTAACATTTTCTATACTGGAAGACAGCCATTACTTATCAATGTTTGGTAATTTATCAACCAATTAATAAGAAATACCTCCACAAATGCCACTAAACACAACATACAAGTCCTGACACCTTAAAATCAGCATGTAATTTTAATGCATGTTTTCACTCTTTAAAAAGAGAGGGTATGCAACTTCACTGTTCCTCAGGAACAACCGGGACTAACTGTATCCATTCTCAGGTTAATTCACGGTCTCAGAACCATCATCACTGCATCTTAGTCTCACTTCGCAGTTGCGATATTCCACGCTTTAAAGAATGCACTTGAACCTTTTACGCTGAGATTTTCACTCTCTCCTTTGGCAGAGTCCAGTACTCCACTAAACAACTTCTGCATCACTCAACGCCAGCCCAAGGAATGAGAAGCGGGTAGAGCAGTGAAGAAGCAGGGAGCCACCAAAAACGTACCTAGATTGCTTGGGCCACAACCTCTTCACCTCAAGAAATGGAAAAAATAGACCCCAATGGTCAGAGAAAAAAAAAATACCTTACTAGCGTCTTCCGCCTGCTCGTAGACCCAACACACCGGATGGAAACACCCAGTAATAAGCTGAGGCTTCCCCAAGTCTCTTGGCAGCACCCACCACCTCCTCTCCGCTGAGCGAGTGGCCTGGTTCTGCCAATACCCAGCCCAGGCAGCTTTGCCCAGACCAGCGGCGGCCAGTGGCCTGCATCGTCCTCCCCGCAGGAAGCTCCCGGGCTGGCTCCGCAGAAGAGCGTTCAGCTGCAGCCTGGTCTCCTCTCCACCACAGCGCCAAGGTAACACGCCTGCCTGCCTGCCCGCCCGCCCAGGCCTCGCAAGCCCGTCCCCGGACCACAGGAAGTCTCCAGACACACTGCGGCAGCCTGAAGCAGGCCCTGCAGGGGGAGGGGTCTCCACGCTCGCAAGCCCACAGCCACCGCGAGCGCCACGCGGGGCGCACGCTCCCGCCCCCGCCCCCACCCCCACCCCCACCCCCACCCCCACCCTGGGGCCTGGAGCCGCCAGACCACCGGCCCCAGGCGCAGGCGGCGGCCCAATGACACTTGAGAGAGTGAGAGCGAAATCACATGACAGGCCAGGCCACACGCACTTTCTCCCACAGGCACGGCCCACACGCCCTCCGGCCCGCGACCGACCCCGCGAGTGCCGCCCGCGGCCGCGGCACGGGGCGGGGGAGGGGCAGGGGCTGGCGGTTGCGGCCGGGGCGGGGGAGGCGGTGACGGTTGGGGGCAGGCCGGTCCGGCCCGGCGGGCGGTTGGGTGTTTACCTTGATGCACCGCGACGCTGCAGCCGTGCCCGTCGCAATAAACCAGCGGGTTCTCGGCCCAGCCTCTCTCGTCTGAGCAAACGCAACAGCCTCCAATCATCTCCTTCATACTATGGGAGACCTCGTCCTCCAGTGACACGGGCCGGTCGCTAGAGACCATCTAAGAGGGAGTTGGGGGGGGGGGGGACCATTAAAAAACACATGCAAGCCCATCAGCGATTTCCCACCCCCCTGCACAGCCCCCCGCGCCCCTCGCCCTCCCTGGCGCCCCCGGCTCCCGCCCGCCGCTCGGCCGCTCGCTCACTCAGGCTTTGCCGCTCAGTCACTCACGTTCCGCACAGGAGTCAGGAGCCATGTCCTTGCTGACTCCCCCCACCTCCCCTCCTCCGCCTCCTCCTCCTCCTCCTCCTCCTCGGCGTCGTCCCTCCCCACCTCCACCCGGCCGCTAACGCTGGCGCCCCGAGAGGGCACACATAATCAAGTAGGCCTCCGCACAGGCGCACTGGGGGGGCTCCCGCTGGGCCAGGGGCGGCGAGGGAGGGGACGGGGGCAGCGCTTCCTCCTCCGAGCGTCACTCGGCGTGCGCGCCCGCCCTGCGGCCAGCGTCAGGGAGGAGGCCTGGGAGCGGCGAGGCCTGCGTGCGCGCCGCCGCGCCCGGCCGGCTGCCCCAGCCTGCCTCCGGGGCCCCTTCCCCTCCCCCGCGCCGCGCGCCGCCGCCGCGGTATGCCGAGGGCGGGGGCGAACGGGGCTGAAGACCCGGGGAGGCCAAAGGAGCCAACGGGAGGCCGCGGGGGCGCGCACGCGGGGGCGGGGACGTTGGGGCCGTCCTCCGCAGCGCGGGCTGTGTGTGCGCGTCAGCGAGAGGCCGCGGCGGGTGGGGGTGGTGGCGGAGGCCGAGGGCTGGGCGGGGGTTTTGGCGGAGGGTCGAGAGGGGACCCCCTCGTGGGCGTCTCCCGGCGTTGAAAAAACCTACCTGACGGCTTTTTTCTCAGGAACTGGCCCCGGGGTATCAAGAGTCGGACGAGCTGCCTATGCCAGCTCCCTGAAGGGTGTAATGAAGCATGGCTTCCTGAAGTCGCCCGCGCGAACTTCACCATGCTGCCGCAGCCTCTCCACCCATTAAATTCCAAACCTGGACTCTCCCCAAAGTTCACCCGGTGGAAGTGCTACCAAATCGGCGTTCATCACGCACCACGTTGGTCCCAGTGACAAATGAAAAGTGCATTACAAACTGAAGGTCAAAAGCCTGTGTTAGGGTTGTACTTTAGACTGGGAGCACCAAGGCTACCCTCAGCTGGACGGGCAAGAGCACAAATGGTTGTTTGTCAGGAATTAGCGCTATGATGTGATGATTTGCAAAAATGCAAGGAACCCAGGTTCTCCCAGTCAGCCACCAAGAGACAATTAACACCTTGAGGCAGTGGAATCCAGTTTTGATTAAGGATTCGTCTGATCTGGCTCTTTCCTCCAAATTTGCTCTTAGAAATGTGACGTTATTTAACTGGCAGAAAAATGGGAACTACCTCCTTACATACAAATAGAAAATGGATTAGGCCTATCTGAATAGATTAATTAGCTGGATACAGAGCAGTTTTGAGCTGTAAAATCTTCTGTCGCTCGAGACTTCATGTATTCATAGAAGTCCAGTATTGATTTTAAGCAAAATGTGTCTAATTATAAAAGTTTAGCGTGAAATAGGAATTAAGGGTAGATGGTTTAAATGATAAGCATAGTTACAAAGCAAATTCATGGCTTTTGCTTAATACCATGCAGGTACAAAATGGCTGTTTATCAGGAGTTACCAATAAATGTGATAACCTGGAAAATGTCCTTACACAATGTTAAAGGATGCAGGAACCAAAAGTCCTAGTCTACTACCAAAAAATAAAACGGTGTAAGCTTTAAAAAGCACTCTAAATGTCCTCATAGAGGAAAGCAACTGGCAACATGGCAGGGTTTTCTTTCAAATTTTTGCTAGAAATCTAAGAATTAATAAGCATATATTAGCAAATACATTCACATATTTAAAAGCTAAGCACAGCAATGCAAATCTACCAAAGCATAAAACAGGGAGAAATGTATAGTAAAGAGACCCAAAAAGATGGGAATGCTCTTTTTTTAAACTATATCACTTCACTTAGGAAAATTAACTGCAAGATTACATATTACAAAAATGCAAATGTGGGGAGGGGATATGACAACAATACATTTCTGACTATATAATGTTCTTAAAATGTCTGCATTTTATACCAGTAAAAATGCCCTTTAAATAAAACTGTAGTGTTTTGTGTATCTTAACTGTGTTATTTTGTCCTTACCCTTATACAAAGGATACCAGTTCAATGTCCAATTCCTGCTCAGACGCCTAATGTAGAGTAATTTTGAGTTAAAAATCAATGTGAAACTTCTCAAACACTGCAGTCAAACCTTAATGTACTAAATTATTTTAAAAATTTGTTCATTTTATTTTTAATGCATTGAAGCTTAGCTCTTATGATGGAATTAATTTATATGTAAAGGAGGATGCATACCTTACCCTATTCTGGAACACTTAATAAAAAAATGCATGAAAACATTTGCTATTTCCAAATAAAACCAAAATACATATTTGTAAGATATTTTAGAATTTAAAAAGAGGAAAATATACATTACATAACAGGTCTGTATATAAATAATAGTATCTGAAGCAGAAATTTTGTGAAAAGACATGTATAAATGTTGACAAGTTGTAATTCAAATTGCTTAAAACATTTTAATATATATGCTGAGTTATGAAAGTTATATGAAAAAATGAGTATATTTTAAAATATGGAATTTTTGTTTTATATCATGTATAACATTTAGTTTGTTTCTATAAAATATTAAAGGAAAAGGAAAATAGCAGGCAAAATAAAACAATTCAAATACACAGTTGATTACTTATTCATTGAGTAAATATTTTTTGAACATTTACTGTGTGCCAGGGACTGTTTTGGATATAGAGAAAATAGCGATGAGGAGGTTGTACTTGTCCTTTATGATGTATATATAGAGATACAGATACAGGTCTAGAAAGAAAGCACTTTGCCAATTGGCTGAAAATGCTAATTCTCAAAACCCAGAATGGATAAAACTTATAATTGGATTGCCAGAATTGTTAAACTTCAAGTAAGCTTTTAAACAACACATGGTAGTGTTAAGAAAAAAAATTTTTTGATGAGATTTATAGAATAACTCCATAGGAAAAGGACAATTTCAGTCTTAAAACATCCGTCTTTACATCTGACTGTATATTCTCAAAATATCCTTTAGGAAAGTGTCTCTAATACCTGTAGAATAAAACAAAAGCCTGTTGTCTCTAATATCCCTCTTCACATAGCAGCAGCCAACTCAGTATTGGTTCATATATTTCTCGAAACTAATCATCTGAGGCAAACCACAAAAAACTCAAGTAAAGTATTTTATAATGTAACCTCTAACCCGACTATAATGGGAAAATGTATTTTTGCTTTACGGGTAATATATCTTCTTGTAATTTTCTTTAGGCCGTAACTTGGGCACCAAATTTTTGTATTTGCTTTTCTATAATCATTTATTTAAATAGATATTATGACAAATATTAAAACTTCATTTGGTTCATAGGTTATTATTGCTCATATTTACCTCTTACAGTTTTCTTTGCCTTGTGTTTGTACAATTGACATTAGTGTCACATCCATTGTTGAATATATTTCTATAATGAGGCATAGAATTGAGGTATATTTCTGTATACCTAAAGTATATTTCTATATTGCTAAGATTAAGTACACTTTCCTTCACTTAGATATTTGACTTCCACAAAGTGTTTAAAATTCTATATTGGCCTGCATGCTAAGTTTTTAAACAAACAAACAAATACCAATTAGAATCCATGTATATTCTAAACCTGATTGAAAGGTATAATCTTCTTTCTAAATAAATTGGTTGAAAAACTCAAAAAGGCAATTTCTTATTATCTATACAGATACATCTTCCTTTACATAGCATTTTATATAACATTTGAATAAAATTCTGTCTTATTTGGTATCAAACAATTTTTACCTTTTGTGTGAGAAGTTTATGATAAGAAGTATGATTAAATACAAAAGTATTCCTGAACTACTTTTGTTATTTATCACTCTGTGTATTGTAGATGCAAACAGAGACAGCAACCAACATCATGGAGTAGTAGCCAAATTTTCATATAAAGGTATTCATTTCAATTATGTTTTAAGTTGAGATTCTGTTCGTGGCTTTTACAAAATTCCATTGTTAATCCTTTTTTTTAACTCACCACAAGGCCTAGCAAAATCTTGCACATAGTAGGCCCATGATACATGTTTTTATAATCTACAATATTGGTGTTTAAAAGCTAATTGCAGCCTGCTTCAGGGAAAAGCAAGACTTTATTCTGCATGTGTAATTGAACTAAAATTTCTAAGTAATGATTAACAGAAATTCTCAGATGTCCATGGCTTTAAAGATTTTCAATAGCTGAAATTAGTAGTTAAGAAAATTAGTTTAGATTGTCTACATTTAAATAGCCCTCAAATGTTAACCACCTTTTCATGCAAAGGTCATCATTTTATTACAAAACCAACTCTAATTTGGAACCAATAATAATTAATATTGTTAGATACACTTAATTTTTGGAAGTTTAAATAACTCTGAAATTTATATTGTATGGGATTTAAAGTTTAAAATCCTTTTAAGGATCAAGGTCTAGTACTTGAAAAGGTTTGGTTTGGTTAATCTTGTGTATGGCATCAGAGCTATTCCTTTTGTAATAAAATTTGTATTAATGGGCTATATTTCCTTTTTGGGGGCAAAACACCATCTCTAATTACCAACAGGAAAATAAGAATCTCCAATATTTCCTTAGATCTTCTAGGTTTAAGTAAACTTGTTAACATTTAAGGGTTGGACTTTTTTTCCCTGATGCAATAACACTTAAAGATGTTAGACTTTGACTTTTCAGGGTATCATCAGTACAATG